TGTTCAAGTGTTTTGTTACACTTGTAGACCTTTTAAAGCAATGAAGCTGAAATTAGCTGTAGAAACAGGTTGTCACAGGGATGGGGTGCTTGGGGAATCATCATTGCTGGTCAAATTTCTAACTCTTTGATTTTCACTTTGCAAATTTCACTGCTCTGTTACATGGCATCGCTGCATTCAATTTTCACAGCACTGTAGGTAAGAAATTGCATAAACAAATTAATATAAAACATAGCTGCAAAGTAGGCAAATCAATCCATTAAGTCTATTCCACCATTCAATAAGATGATGACTGATCTGCTTGTGACCTTAAATCCATTTTCTTGCCTACTGCCCTTAACGCTAAACCAAGTTGATCAAAAAATCTTCACCGATTTTAATAAACATTTAATGAGTAAGAATCCAGTGCTCGTTCGGAAAGAGAATTGCAAACACTGGTGACTCAAAATAAACTTCTCTTCATCTCTCTCTGAAACGGACATTTCCTTATTTTGAAACTATGCCCCCTTGTTCTAGATTCCCCCACAAGAGGAAACATCCTTTCAATTCCAACACCAACAAGCCCCATTAATAACTTCCATTTTTCAATAAGACCATTTCTCATTCTTCTCAACTCCAATGAGTTTTGGCACATTCTTAACCTTTTCTTATAAAAATCCTCAGCCCCAGAATCAGCCTCGTTTGAACTGCTTCCAAAGCAAGCATCCTTAACAAAGATGACCAAAACTGTTTATGGTACTCTAGGTGCAGTCTCACAATGTTCACAAAATAAACATAAAGTACTGCAGATTCTGCAAATCTGAAATTAACAAAAAAGGAGAAACTGCTAGGAATACCCATTAAGGCAAGCAGAGAGAGAAAAAGCAAGAAAGAGAGAGCAAGCAAATGGGCGGAATCCTATGCCCTTTGAAAAATGTTACGTGTTGGGATTATTTCATGGAAAAGCAGCCAAACCAGAGCCCACCCCACCACAGCACCCACTGTCATCATCAACCCCTACCCTCTCCACCATCACACCACCCACCATCACCCCCAACCTACCGCTCACTTATTATCCAAGTGAATTCAGCAGGCAGGTTTCCAAGGTGGAAGTGCCAATAAGTGAGCTGCTGCAATGGATGAATGGCAGACACACTTGCTTATGTGGACACTGCTGACACTAGTAAGGAGACATGAGGGCATTTCAAAAACAACAGCCCCCAGAAGCCTCATCAATATTGAAAAACAGGAATTACAGTCAACTGTCGCCTTTACACTTTTGTGGCACATTCATGGGACAAGTGACAGGGAATCCCTTGGGCCGTCCTACCTGCCATCAGGATGTCACCTCTACGCTGCCAACAGCTTCCTGACTCAGCAAAAGGCTTGTACGACACTCTGCATCATCAGAAACTTGCCCCAGTTGGTCAGTTGACGAATCTGTGCTGCTGTGCAGGGTCTTTTCCCACATTGTCCAGGCCTCCAGCAGGATCACTTCAGGTTGAAGCACATCAAGGAGCCAGAGAGATGAACAAGTTTCGCTGTTTGCTCCCAGACCTGCACCCAAGCCTTCCTCCATGTGGCTGGGAACATTCTGCCCAGCTTTTCGGATTGGTGGTCTACAATAATCATCCACTCTGTCTGTCACTGCACAGTTACTGACTAACCTGCTGAGTATTTCTGTTTACACTGTACTTTCACTGCTGCCCAAACCACAACAAAAAAATTTGCAAAATGAACAATTGTGTTGGAATTTAAAAATGAATACTATACGAAATAAAAATGAAAGCTTTAATTGCAATTGAAATGAGCTGCTAAGATGATAATGATTCCAGCCTGACCTTTTGCACGTGTGATCACATTCTGCTTTCAATTGTCAGTTGAATGCAGTGTGTGATGGGGATATGGGATATCGAACAGCATTTGACACTTTTACCTCTGTCACCATGCAGTGACTTTGAGAGACAACAAGGTGCAAGGCTGGATGAACACAGCAGGCCAAGTAGCATCATAGGAGCAGAAAGGCTGACGTTTCGGGCTTTTCTGATGAAGGGTCTAGGCCCGAAACGTCAGCCTTTCTGCTCCTATGATGCTGCTTGGCCTGCTGTGTTCATCCAGCTCTGTACCTTGTTGTCTCGGATTCTCCAGCATCTGCAGTTCCTACTATCAGTGACTTTGAGAGTTGTTCAATGGGAATTTCCAGCATGTAGCTGTAGGAATGTCAACAAGATGTCTAAACAGCTAATCACATCCAATAATTCACACAAACAACCAAATTGAGAAATTAAAAGCTGTAAAATGAAATCATTAAAAAAAAATATATCATGGGGAAACATTTGGCACACATGTGGGAAGACAGTAGAAGACAAAATGTCATTAAAATGTCATTTAAAATTAAAAGTCTAAAGAATTTATTGATCAATCTAAATGGTAACATTCAACATCTCTCTGTAAATATAATTTCTTTTTCAGAGCCAGATGTGTTGTTCAGCAATAGTTGTCACCCTGACCACCAATTAAAACTCATTTACAGCTGACTGAAATGTGCATCTTTTCATGGTTATTAGCAGTGATTTAAGACTGGAAAATGGGAACTTCTCACCACATCAACTCTTTTCTCTGATTACTGATTCTGAGGGCAGGAAGACAATGGTTGTGTCTATAGTACAACATGTGGCAGAGCTGTGAGCAACAAACACCTACTTCAGGATTGATACAGTATGGAGCTGGAGGAACACAGCAGGTCAGGCAGCATCAGAGGAGCAGGAGAGGTCTAGGCTCGAAATGTCGACTCTCCTGCTCCTCTGATGCTGCCTGGCCTGCTGTGTTCCTCCAGCTCCACACTGTATCAACTCTGACTCCAGCATCTGCAGTTTTTGCTATCTCCTACTTCGGGATTTCTGTATTAATCCAGCCAGGCATTAAATACTGAAATTGTACACAAGTTCAGAGTGTAACACTGGCAATTTGCTGTCAAAGAACATTGCGCAGTGGAGGACTTGGGGAAAAAAAAGTAAGGAAATAATTTAAAAATGTAAAGCAAAAAGAAATAAAAGTAATTTCACTGATTGGATTCCAATCACCTTCCAATTCCACTTTCATTTAAGAACATAGGAACATAAAAACAAGGAGCAGGAGTAAGCAATTCAGCCCCTCGAGCCTGCTCTGCCATTCAGTAAGACGTAATGTGCTCCATTGTCTCGGTGTCTCCGATAATAGGACACCTCTATGTTGGTGAAATATTTATTTAAAGTAATAACTAAGATTTAGGATGTTTCGTCATCATCTCAGCCCTCAATGATTTGACACATGTCGCTTAAAGCAATCCCCAGCCTTTCCAATGTAGAAGTTGTTCCTTTCTCTTGTTCGCTTTTCACAGAAATGCATGCCTGGGAGATTATCAATTGCATCACTTGCATCAATCTATTTAAAGTTAAAGCAGCCCCGTGATATGTCACAAACTCACTTTCAAATGGCTTGCTGACAGATGTACAAATAAAAGCAAGACGGATTTTTTCCTCACAACTAAATAATAATATGAAATGCAAAAACATTGACAAATACAACAACTGGACACAGAGACAGAACTTGTCATTCAATAAGCTTATGGTTAATCTATACCGGAGATCCAT